GCGCCAGTAGGCAGTAAACTGCACATGCTCAAAGGCTCTCACAGGCCTCAGGCTACACAGCATTGCCATCGCATCGACTACCGCCACTTTTCGACCTCCTGTCTGATCTGAACGCCTTCTCTCCATGTCCCCTCCCATTCCGGAGCTGCTCGAATGTCCCTCCTACCAGAGCACCCCGCTTGCCAAGGAAGTGACTTGGAGATCGATCGGACTTCATTTTCTATTTATCCAGCCGATTTGAGCGGAAATCCCCTCTAGTGCTCAGTGACTGTCGGTGTCGGGGCACGATCTCTCCTTACCCCGCTCCAGAAAGAGCTCAGGGTCCTGGCACGGCCATCCCGCTTCGCCGCCAATCCGTCTCTGCAAACTCTCTGTATTCCTTGAACGTATAGCTAGGTATTTCGAACTTGAGGGCTACCCTTTGCCCTCCTTCCACGTATGCCCCTAAGCTGCAATGATAGACTTCATTTCAGGCATTTGGCTTTTCAAAAGGAAAATATTCAAGATACAAGCGCATATTAGGATACTTTTTGTTTTCAGATCATTGAATAATAATATTTATAGACACCTGAAACGTTTTAGTCATAAAATCAATTAGAGCGTTATTTCAATCTTGAACTACGACAAGGCATTACAGAATCACTACTATTTCTATCGAGTTTATTATTTTTGTTGTCAGCGCCTTAGATACCATTATAGGCGGTTGTTGCTGAAGAAACAAGTTAAAAAATCATTTTTATTCACCTATCACGTCTATATCGACCTAGTTTGTGTATCAAGTGTATCCTGCCGACGTCTGCTGTCTATTTGTTGTCAATCCAAAACGTATTATCTTAGTGCTGTTCAGTCCTAGGGATAAAGTTGTTACCCCAGCAGCAACTACTATCATTAAAGCTGGCTCATGGAGCTTCATCATGGGACCAGCTTTATACAATATAGCCATGGCCAACGTGGGGATCAGCAGGTCAACAATTATTTTTCGGCAAACAGGGTTCAGTTAAGCACACTATTTTCGCAATCGACACCCCTTCTTCTCTTTTTACCGCTTCTCCCATGATTAAAAAGGTCGAACAACGAAACACAAAGGTTTAGATAGACAGATAGGGAAACCAACCCGTCGAACAAATAGCACGACTTCTCACACTATCCCTATCACCGCCGGAGCATGCCCGTCGTACGGGGCTTGTCGTATAAAATACACATGTACTTATCTCGTGCTACGATCACGCGACGACGAAGTAAGCTAGTCGGCCAGCTTGCCAATCCATTGAAAGCTGTAGGGGTTGCGGCTTTGATCGTTAGGCCTGAGCAGGCTTAGGCAACATTTGGTAAGCTGCTCGGTAGCCATTGGCTACGCGACCTGTCGTGCTACCTATCTCACGTTCATATCTATGCTAATGAAAAAGCCACGAGCAAGTCGCGGGCGTTAGCCGGGCAATTCTGTTTGAACAAGTATGCCAGCATCGCCCTCTATCCCTCGATGGCCCCTCGATAACCTCCTCTCTGGTGACCCACCAGAAGCGGTGAAGGGTCCGCCAAGAGAGTGATAGAACGCACACTGAGGATACTAGCGATGGTGAGATATGACCATCCGCGTCTTTCACGTGAACCATTTTTGCAATTATATCCTTAACCCTGCGGCGTGTTGTGGAGTGACGTTCCCCTGTCGACTCACGGACTAGTGGTAAATAAACACACTGTAATCATTTCATTTTTTAATGTAAACTAAAAATCACTCCTATGATATGCCTATGCGTGTATTTGTCATTTAGGTAAATCCCTATCTATATGTATAGGAACGTGTGTCTTTGTTGGCTTAGTATGCAGTGATCTATAATTGTGTTTTGTATTATAAAATGCGCTATTATTACGGTTTTTATCTGAACCTACGGCGAAATGGCTGTGGACTTGTCTTACATTCTACCTATACTACGAACTGAGAATACTCATACTATGATGATGTAATAAGGGTTACAGCCTGGATTTGGATTGTTAAAGTACAAACGAATTCCACGCCCCTTCATCAGACTAAACTTCACAGATATGTCATCCTGTTGATCACCATTATATAACTACATAATATTGGTCGCTTGTATCGAAGATATATGGTGGTGCGTGCGTTTTGCTAATGCGATTAAACTGTCCGCTAAGCACCTGCCGGAGACTCCCGGTCGTCCACTGCCATATTAGCAGTGTGTGAAAACTTTATTCCTTTACAGAAGTGTAATAAAATCTAGTTCTGGTTTTAAATCTGCCTTCTCTGCACGAATCTGCAAACTCGAGACAACGTAATGGTAATGGAAAATAACGAGTTTTCTATAGAGGCCTATAAGTAAGCCGTTCGTCGCTTCACCTAACGGCGTTTGTTTAGAACCTAGCGAAAACCGATGTATCCTTCTAAAATATTTGCTTTGCCAACTGTGGAGCTCACATACTCACTAAAAAACTCATCTCTAGGCCTTGGGAGTTCACGCCGGACTCGCTACCTAAGATTTTTACCGGTTTCGTTACCTAGGATTTTTCCCAAACTAATAAGTCAAACAGGTCTTCACAGGGGATAAGTAAATAGTCCTTTCCTCTATTTACTCTGCTTTTGTCATCCCCTTCGTGTCGCTATGTGCCCATTTCTGTGTGAAGTCTATCGCAATGTTACATTTGCTTTATCCATAGATCATCGCGATCAGAACCGTGACTGCTTTTATTATTATTCGTTCAAGCATCTACCTCAGCTGGCCTCTGTTACCGTATGTGCCGAGGGCCCTAATCTGACAAGGTCATCTATTATGTTCAGGCAAAGAAACTGTACCCTGGGAGCGCGTGAGATTGGCCATTGAGACTAATGGATTCATGATGAGCCGACAAAGGGCAGCGGTTCGGGCTAAATGATGACCTCGACATGACACACACACACACACAAACACAGCCTCGACGAAAACGCGCTCGTGAGCCATAGGATCGTAAGCGATGCCGTTCCAGTCACTGGTGAATACACATGGCTGCACTGAGTAAAAAGCTTAACCCTGCGTTGTAACTTGGCGTTCAAAGACTATACTCCAACGCGAACGAAGTAATATCGCCAAGAAGTCGCTCCACATCGCTATTACGACAAGTATAAACGAGAGCCCGTAACACTAAGTAGAATTTGATTACTTCGCAGATGCGGCCTGCTTTTTGACTCGAGTCAGGACCTCTTTTTCGCACTTCGTCTCGATCTTTCGCTTCGGCAAGCGGTGCGACAGCAACGAGGTAAATAGAAATGTTGAGCACAAACGCTAGTTATTTGAGGCAAAATGAGAAGTACGTCAACGACTACTTGAACGTGCGAACAAAAGACTCGCTACAAAAATAACCGAAATGCGTTTATTAAGGAGATCAGGACATGTTCGAGCGTGTCGTTCTAATATGGAGCAGGTTATCGCTTTTGATTTGCTACAGAACGGGAAAGCCGTTTTTAGCGTGACTGTTTCACGATCCGTGTTGCATGTTCTCATACAGATATTTGTCATCCCTAGAAGATGCCCCAAATCTGTTTCATGACGACGGATGTAATTTTACGTCAGTACTTAACTGGCTTGATTTTTCGATATCCTCCGGCCTTGGCTGACCTTGCTCAACCATACATCGATAGGTCTTATCCCTTAAACCGGTAAAAATTATAATCCGTGCATTTTCTTGATAAACCTAAGGACATATGCTATATATATATATAAAGATATGAAAATATAAGGATTAAGGATATATGCAAAATAAAAAAATTACGCAAAGACCCGGGAACTTTTGAATTTGCTTACTTAAACTGTTTTCTTAATTGTACTTTACGGGCCAAAGGGCATTGGCACGTGCTTGCTGTCCATGTTCGCATCCTATCCTCACATATCAACGTTGTACTGTCTCCTGCGCGCGCTTCTTGCTTCATTTAATCAGCTTGGGCTTCAATATATCGCTGATTACGGAGGATTGCAACGAAGACACGATACGCGAACACCCCTTACAAAGATCGATCAACCCGTTGATTAATTTTCACCTCCTCGGTACAACGCCCTTACTCACCCCTTCCCGATGCCCCAATTCAGGCAACGGGACGAATGAGCCGCTGTTATGGTGTCCGTCCTCTTCGCCTTTTTACATAGACCATTGTGGATACCGCTCATTGAATGATCTTTTTGAGCGTAGAGCGTGGGACTTAGACTCGCCGCCCTCCGCAATGTTGGCCTAGTATTTGTAGCTATAGGACATCATCCGGCTTAGCTGTACCCTGAAAGACCGTTCCTGCGTTCTCTCCATTTCTTCTAGCGACGCCGCCCACTCAATGTCACTATTACTACAGAAGAGGACAATTCGATTTTCAGTGAGAAAGGTCGAGTCAGCTCGAGCCGAAGCAGCCATGATGAACGAGGGAATTTGTGCTCTGTAGAGGCAAATATCGTCGAAAGAAGCATCAGAACATGGCGGGACAAGGCCTTAGCAAACAGAAACGTCTAGCCCTCGTACGGACTACCACCTGGAACAAACAGCCCAAGAAGTCGAAGAAGAAGAAGCTAATCGATAAGCAATGCTATATAGGGAATCTATAGCTCGCTAGCGTATTTTCCTAGATGGAAAAGTGCCAATGCATCGCAATACGTTTAGCATGTGACGAGAAGCTTAACAAGATTTGAAACTGTTGAGAACGAAAGCTTTGCTACTGCACAACTTTAAGCCTTTTGTAAGCTGTGACAGTACTGATGAATAATACAGTCAGTCAGTCAGTCAGTCAGTCCGAGTTTTATGCAGGTTATTAATTAGATTTTTTTTCAAACCACAAAAATTATGTTGCCACCGCGACACAAAAATGCCTAACTCGAACTGAGATTGAGTTTTCTTATAGAATTATAGATGCTGAAATCACTCGGTAAAATGATATGGGCCTTTTGTTGATTTCTCGTTGCGAAATGAATAGATGCGATGCTACATACCATTAAACCCTACATTATTTACGAAGTTATCTAAGTAAAGTAAAATTGCTCCACGAACTTTATTTATATGCCACCAATGAATGCAATTTTCGCGGAAATTATTTGAGTGTTCTTTTTTTTTTTGCTGCAGATTTGTTCGTCTATGTTACGTCCTATAGGCTAACAATTTACTTCCTTAAATTTATTTTAATAGAAGGCTGTTCAAAATGAATATTCTGTTCCGAATGAATATTCTATCATGGTGGAGATTTTGTCAGATGATTAGCAAACACGCAGGAAGTACGTTTCTGTTCGACCGTTTCCGTATGGCTTTATACTCGTCGTTTCGTTTGTTCATCAATGAAGAGACGTCGATGGCGATGAACCCTGATCTTTTGACCGCAGCCACGGTTATCAAACCTCATGTCGATCGTTTAAACTTCACCTTAAATACAACGGTATGGATTTTACAAAAATATCTCTGAGGCAATTGGTAACACTTGGAAAAATCTGAATGGTGAGTTGGTCATCGTAAATTATGTCCGTTCATTTTTTCCACTAGCTCTCAGAGTTTTAAAAAAAAATCGAAAGATAATATTACTGGATGCGTCAAAGATCAATCAGCAGACCACCTTTTGAATTTTTAGCTGTTGTCCTTGTACAAATGCCTGGTACATTTGCTTTTCACGCAGCAAAACTAACAGCTTTGCTATCTCACTATGGTTGTACCGGTGGAATATTAGTCACCCTGGAACACTAGGGCTCGTTCAGTCGACCTTAACGACCGACTTACCATATGCCGAAGACAAAAAGTTTGTAGGGATCATAGTAGTTCCTAGAGGGGTCTTTGCCAATTGTGCAATGTTTTGTTGATCCATGGGTCGGGTACGCGTTTGATTGGATACGAAATATGTCTATACGCCTGGGTAGAGTTATTTTATTTGAAACCGTTAGTACGATTCGAAGGGGTGTTTCTTACCTTCGACATAAGTACATCCAGTCAGCTCGCAGGATAATTCTTTCATACCGTTCAATCACTACTTGATGATGCAAGCCTGACATCAGATCTAGAATTCGTTGTATAGCTGAGAGAGTCGTTACGACACCGCAGTTAAGCTGTGGCACGTGTGCAGTTAGGTAAAATGAAGTAAAAGGAATGGCAAATCTATGGCCATAACGTAACGATTACCTATAAAAAAAAAAACGATGCATATATGAAGTGCACGTAGGACACCTAAATGTGTAAGCTTTTAAAGTTATACACAGAAACTGATAAATAAAAGTTTAATGACGATAAGTTAAACGACCTTGCACAAAGAAGATATAATTATTGTGTATATACTACTTGCTTGAACAAAATTGTTCAATTCAATCATTTAGAGTAACCTTTATCCCTCAAACTTGTCTCCGCAGTTTGTAAAAGGCCGATGAAATCTTTCAACTTTGTTAGATAACGCAGTCACCATTTTTGTATATGATGGATCGGTTTTGGTTAATTTAATTATGAGGAATATGTTATTAAAATATATAATTTAAATATGGCTTCCATATTTATCGTGCGCTCGTACGCATCAACGCGAAGGTTGTGTCTTAACGGTACGTCACAGATTTTGCACAGCTCTAAGTAATTAGACAAATATACTATTAGACGTATCTGTAATTCATCCAGCACAAAATAATTAGCTTTTTTCTTAGGCAAAAGCCCGTCGCCGCTTTGCACCTATCTACGTTTAGGCCATACTAATTGACTTGTTTACCGCTGTATTCTTGACCAGAAAACACCAAATACTGCTCGATAATTAATTAAAAAGGGGTTTTTCCCTAGTATATAGTACTTGGGATAACCGAACAACGTCCATATGGGAAAACAAAAAAAAGCCGTTTGTGACAACGACCACTGCGGCAGAAAGGACGACCTAATAAAGCTTACATTTCAGGTGTCTAGACACGGGGAAAAGCACTAAGGCATAACCTGCTAAGACTTCAAACCTGTCCGTATAACAACAATGTACGTGTTGCAGGACTGTCGAAGTCTTGATCTCAGAGTATATCATTTTGCCTAGTATGGTTCTTGTCGAAGTGATTTTGCTTCGTTACGAACGTTCACGGAACAACAGAAGTTTCGACGGCCTCTTCTCAAATTTTAGACCCCAAGTTGGTCGAGGCGCTTCTCTAAGCAAGCCTTTAAAACGATCCTAATAGTACTTTATATTTAAGTGACAAATTAAAACAAAAGAATAACGTGGTCGCGGTGCAGTCCTGCATTGTTCCGTTATTGCACTTCAAATTGCCATGTATATTATTACTGCAGCTCATACCCCTCATCTTTTATGTGCTCGTATTAGTATGGTCATCCATAATAGTCGGCAGGCTATGCACGCATAGTTTTTTTTTAAGGTATGCAAACGTTTCTAATTTTCTAGAAGATCTGTAGATTTTGTAAACCTAGTCTGACATAGTATCCCATACCCGTGCTGAACGTCAACACCAGATACAATAGAATGGAAAAGAAATTATAAGGATTATTATTGTTGTGTTCCCTAAGTTCCTAGTGGTGTTGTCCTTACTAAATACTGGCTCGGATGTTATGATAAGCCAACATTATGTTAGTGGGCATGTGGTCATTTTGGTAAAGTATTTTGAACTCAAGCATATCTCCTAAGATTTCCTTAAGCAGCTCTCGGAAGACGAACGCGCCTTTCGAGAGCTGCTTAAGAGAAGCTAAAGAAAGACAATCAATTTAGATATCGCCATGTGCCATCCTTATATCGGGTTGCAAAAACGCTCATATAGGGACAACAGCGATATTTTTCAGACTCTCGAGATCGACTAAATGCAGTGAAGCGGCTGGAACAATGGAACAAGAGAACCTTGATGCATCGCTAAGATAAAATCGAGGCGCAATTCTAAGGCATCATCTAATGAAAGCAAGGGGACTTCTGCGTCGCTAATGTTATACTAACACACTCTCGACTATATGAAAGTTCTTGCCATGAAAAACGTAGCAGGAAAAATGCGTATGACAGCGCGCTATCTTCTGCAACCTTCTATTAGATAGTGTACTATCACAAGGTGTTCTGGAGTAAATTTCGATGAAATCAAAGCGAGACAGTGATCTTGGCATAACTAAGACATTATTGTCTCAAGAACGATAATAAATTTACCGATCCTCTAACGAGGAACAGCGGACTTACAATGCATTAAACGTTATCGTGGAGCGACTACATTTGATGCAAGCCGAATGGGACGAGGTAGAAAAAATCTTTTTCTGAATTGATATTGAACAACGAAAAACGAACGATGAGCGTAAAAACGTAGGCGTAAATAGCTGGACATAGAACTATCAATGAAAAGTTTGTAAAAAAATTAATGATTTTCTCTTATTTATGATAATAATGAAGTGAGCTAACTAGGCATTTCAACCATCTTTAACCTCCGTTAGCCAGCGCAGTAGCGGTTTCCATAGAAGAAACCGGGTTAGGAAGAAAATCTTACGTTTAGCCTTCTAGCGAAACTTCCTGACTGTTGAGGTGGGTGGTAAAGGAAAAGACATAGTGCCTATGTGACGAGTACTTGTAATTATTCCTTCCACCTTGTTTAACATCGATGTCGTGAACGCTTAGAATGTCCAACGCGTTATGCCGCTATCTATAAGGAGTGAGCTGGACAATTCTAGGGCTGAGACGATATCGGACGCGTGATCACCGTTTTATATCGATTCCTTCATTTCCTCCCGAGCGTTTCACTCTTAGCTGCATTTTTGGCTATGGGACCCTGTCTTTTACGCAACGGTCAGTTCTCGTTAGATCGCCACCATCTCCGTCCACATAAAGGGCTCCATCGCCTGTAGAGTCTATTGCTTAGCGCTGTTCCGAAAGCCCGTCGAAATAGCCAAGACTTGCTGCCCTTGCCGTAACAGTTCTGCCCACTCCTGTTACTCCATTCTATGTCCCTAGTAGTTCAGCGAGAAGAATAGTGTTTAGCTGAGACTCGACGAGGCGCCGCTTATCATCGCCGCTTGTACATACTGCGTCTGTGTCGTTGAACCGGCCAAACATCTGCTAACATCAGCAACGGGCGCCGTGGCGCGAAGGACGTGCGACCTTCATGATACCGCTGCCACCCACGACACGTGTATGAACGAGAAAGCAGCGTTCGAACCGAACCCTGGCTTGCGCAACGTGAAGACGGACCTGCTTACGCAGGCTACCGCCGAGCAGACGACGACGACGGCGACGGCGAGGTCCTCTGTGTGCGCGAGAATTCCTTATCTCGACGTCTATGATTCATCAATTACCAGGCCAAACCGGGCCGCCGAACGCAGGCTAGGACCCTAGTGAGGACCAAGCTGGCACGACAAAGCTACGAAATCATCTGAGGACCACTGAACTCTAGCATACTGCGGTAACCGCAGTACTAGTCGCCGACGGCATCATTATAATCATGATGATGATTTTGGCGGCAATGCCGTGGTTGTCAGCGTGTCCTGTTAAAGTTGTGCTGCGGCGTACCGTGACGAGGCCACGTGAAGACGAGTATCTCTTCAAACTGGCCATGAACGGCGCCTGTTTTGGCTGTTGATACCGCCACTTCGGCAAAAGAAGGACATTCAACGAGAGAAGAAGCAACAGATTTACCTTAGTTTAGCCACAGGCAAAAGGCAATCAGAAATAGGTCTGGACTTTAAAACATGACCAGTGACAATTAGTTAGAAAATGTATCTTTGGCTAGGACAAATTTGAGATTATACTTTGCAGAGATGCTAGGTTGTAGCAGCTAACGAATTTTAGCAGTCATATAGTTATATATCTGACTGATCATACGGCGCCTGTTACGTGGTGTATTGAAAGGTGCAAATAGAGTCCAACCATAATTATTATAAGTGACAGGAATAAACTAATAGAATATGGTAGTGGTCATAGTATAAACCAAAAGTACCGAAGAATGTTACACTGAAAGGTGGACCGAGCATTACATTTATAAATCTGTTATTTGTTGAAGTCTGAATAGAGCACCACTCTATTTTCAATTTCTATTTTACACGGTACGCTTCGCTTACCCGCGCCCCTCCATTTGTTCCAGACTTTTCTTTTCTAATTTCTTGGTGTTTTACCTATATTTTGTTAACGGAACGTCTCTCGTCTGAGTCAGTCGTGAAGTTGCAATGCTGAACTGCGAAAAATGGGTAACCTTTCATTAGTCGACAGTGGTGTTGTGCTGGCTCCCTCTTCCCGACATTCATAATACATACACTCTTGCTCTTCTTCTATCTGTTTCTCTCGTATAGGTTTTGTACTCGCGGTGCTTCCTTTTATGCCTTCTGCTGGTGCGTATATGTCCGCCGCCTTTTATGTTCCTCCAGTTCAACCTGCCATTCACCTCCTGGCATTCATATGTAGATATGCAATTCGACGCTCCTTAAATTCCAGCCTTAGCATCAACTCATGGGCCTCTGGTGCCTCTTTACCTCCACTCTTTTACTGGCTGAAAAGAGACGACATATAGATCAAGCTTCACGTCTATCGAGGCAGTCGGTTCCAGCTGACCGGAGACGTTAGTCAATTCGTAAAGAAGGCGCAATGTACACCCACACAAACGTGCAAACGGACTTCAAAGGGGTTTCATTTTGAGGCCGAAAGGCCCCACCAGGAAAGGGCTCAAAGTGAACAACAGTTGCTACGAATTTGGCAGTTACTACAGATTGTAGGTATACTGCAAAACGTTGCATGAAACGTAGGAATGTTTGTTTAATATTATATATATATATATATATATATATATATATATATATATATATATATATATATAACTATTTCGTAGTGAAGTATGTATGGCTGTGCGCCTCGACAAGTCTTTAATAAATAGAACTAGGTCTAGATAAATATAAGTCGAGCAAGCAGTTCCCGCTAGCTTTTATTTTATTGAAATTTCACCTAGCTGTTCTGTTTTCTTCAATTTTAGCTTATGGATATTTAAAGATCTGATCTCTTGCGAGCAGTTCCTTAGCCTTTCAACACGGAGTACGACCACACGAAAATCCGGTTAAATAAAAATGTCTTTGAAGACATATTGGCTAGCGTTTGCGGGATGTCCACTTGCATCAATGGCTATGACATATAGAATGCAGTAGTAAAATGAAAAATCAATCAGTTTCCTCAGCTTCGTAATACGGAAAACCCTATTATACAGCATATGTACAATTGATCGAACAGTTTGCTGTAATAAGCAGCAGCGTTTGAATCAATGTAGGGACCCCTTATAGGCTAGATTTCCTCCACTTCTTGACGCTCTGATGAACTGCAGCCGTACAAAGCGTCAATCTACTCGTGCAAAGCCATTACAAGTTCCACAACTCTGAGCGCCCATTGGGGGTGATAACGTATCCAAGCCTACCTCGCTGCTGATCCAAGGAATTGCCCTTCATTGAATGACCTTGAATTAAAGGACAAAAGCGAAAGGTCAGCGCTAGGACAGCTGATAGTGCCGACGAGAGATACAACGTTACCACACTGAAAGCGCACCTCTTCTGTGAGATAAAACATTTCTACATTAGCTTGCCTTTACTCGGTGATAATCACCAAAAATGTATGTTTCGATCTTTGGTTTTTCAAAGCTTGGCTGATTCATTGCTTTGGCTATAATAGCCTTTCCGTCTGCTCGTGTTTACTTACGTGTGTGCTTTGGCCCTCGTATTATGCATAAGACTGCTATTTATTTTATCTATAATAATACTATTAAGGTAAAACATGCAGTGAGTTATATAATAATACAATTGTAAGAAAATTGCTTTTTCGATTTCTTTTAATTATTACGTGAAAATTTAAAGATAACGATATTAAACGTGCGCTATCACAGCGTCACCAGCACGCACATTAAGAAAGGCTGAACTGAAGAAAGAGAACTTTTTTTTATGGCAACTACGATGGCTGGTAGCTGAAGTGTGCCGGGTCGGTTTTAAAGGTTCAATGTTAACATTCTCATATCATTTAGAATCAGATTCTCCCACTAATGAATATTGGTCTTTTACGCAAGAGAAAATGTATTTCTTGCATGGACGATGGCGAAATGCCGGAATAAAGGATGTAGCTTTGTGAACTAGACAAACTAAGTGGCTACTGCAACCTAGTTGGTTGCAAGACTGAATACCTCTTGGCAATATAATGCCGCGACCTATTTTTTTATTTTTAATATTTTGCAGGATATGTACAATTTATTATCTGAGGTATCGTTCAATAGCAGAAGGCTAGAAAACATGAAATATAGAAAAATCAAGCTTTTGGCGAAGAGCCTTCAAAGCAAAAATGAACCTTGTGCTGTTTTTGTTGTTCTGCTCGTTAGCGATTGGTAGGTTTACGGAAACGTGCAACAGGTTTCTGATACACACAGATGTGTTCCTCTTATGTTACCCAAATACTACCAAAAGGTCGTTTGCAGCAATGTTTAACAGCAATACCAGATTGTAAAACTTTAATTTAAAAGGCCATTTTCTGAAATATCGAACTTTATTATTATTATTATTATTTAAACTATTCAAATCTGAGCCTATATTTTATAACAAGTTAAAATTATGGGTCCTTTTTAAATCGGGATCCATAAGTTTATTAATGACTTGAAAGCGATACCGGATCATGCCATGACAATAAAGAAGTTACTACCCTGACAATTTCACAGTCTGTGAAATTGACCATCCTCAACCTGAACACGCTAGCAGTTAGCGCCTCACAACCAGCTAACGTCTCGTAGCCAACCTGAATCTACTCTTGTTTTTATTAGGAAGCATTCAAGTGCAAAAGACTTTATAACATAAAAATAACCGAATTAACGAACAAGTAAAAAAGTGCCAACTTTCAAAACAAAATACATAGGTACAAGTTTTGGCTGGAATTTGGAGTTGCTAGTGATCATAGAAAGCTTGAAATTGTCAACAAACAAAGGACATTTCGACTATTCTGGATACCAGAAACAAAAAATAGTTTAAAGGCAGCAATGGGACATACGTTTCATACTGAGCCATACAAGCATTAAGAATGCAATCCTATATCGTGCAGACTATACATTTTTGTACAGAATGAGAAAGTTCTCTTTAGAGTTTGACAAACGTCACTCGATGTATATCTATCGTATACATTTATATATAAAATAAACACTCTCCAAGAGACTTCTGCTCTACTCCACATACGAGCTATAAGTAAACGTTTTATTTACTCGTTTTCTTGTCCGTCGTGTTATGCACGTGCTGTAACTGCTTTTATGCTATCTGATCAAGCGTTCAGACAGCGACGCTATCCGCAAAACGCTAACTCTCACTAATTAACCAGCGAGAATCGAACATGTACGTAGATGTATGTGTACGTAGATGATATGTGTAGCGGAGTAGCAAGCGAGCGTGCGGTAGGCATGGAACACATGTCTGTTTGACGGGTCGATATTGCTCGCTCCTCTTGAATTCTTATATACAATGGCTGGTGTATAAGAGCATCGTTCATAGGCCTATTGCCTTGTCGTGCGAATTGGTTTAGTGTGGGCGGGTTAGACCAGATATAGCTTGTCCTACCAGGCCACGAACAAGCCAAGCCTGAACTTTTATAAAGTTCCCTTTCTGCTCTTATTAGTGAAGCTTTCGTCGGTTTTACCAATCTCATTTTGCTGTGCTAGGCATGATATCAATAATAATTTAATGACACGCTATACTCTCAAAAATTGATTTATGAATTCAATATAGTTCCTGTATGTCTCTGCTAATACAAGATCGAACTAGTAGTCATTGAAATAAAACGACGTTGCATACGAACATTTGAATTGTCATGCCAAGCAACAATTTAAAGCAGTCTGTACGTCCGGACATCAAACATTACCGGACACGTTGGTAGCGTATAATTTGTTGTAAAAAAAAAAAAGTAATTTTTTACTTTCAAGTAGTTAGAGCGCTACAAATTTTTGCTGCTTTTCCGTTTGTTAACAAAGCATTTTAAACTACAAAGCAAGGTACAGTTAACTGAGGTAGGCGACATACGCAACAAGGTCTAAAGAGATATCTAATCGACAGTTGAATATGCATTGGGCAAATTTGGTCATACTTACTGACACAATGAAGCAGTAATTTTTATCGGTCCCTCGCTCTTGGCGCAACTATTGGCAAGACTGTCACATCTGTACGTATTCTTTTTCCTTACGTGTTCTTTCTCTCTCCGCATCCGCGGGCCGCTAGCCGGGGGTGATGTCGCTGATCTTCGACTCGGCACCAACTCGTGGCTAGTTTCTCGCGTCTAGTGTAGCAGGTGATGCTAGCTCTGCTGGTACTTATCTTCCACTCGCACCTGATGAGCAAACACAGTCTACCTTAATCTTTGCTCTCTGCCTAAGGCTGAAGGTAGCTGGGACAGTGTGTCTGAGCCAGAACCGTAGTCGCTGTCGACGCAAGCGCCACAACCACCTCAACTAGAACAGAGTGATGTTAATCGATTGAGTCTTTATGCAATGGCACAATGCCAATTTTTTGGGGTTTGTTTCTTCTGCACATTAGGGGAACGGACAACCTAGCGCTTATGTTTAAATGAGGAGGATGTGATATTCCCTACTGCAGGTACATAGAGAGGGCACGGCACATCACTCACGTTTTCCTTGTTTTGGTCTAACGTAAGTACACGGAGTCCTTTTACTAGCAATTGGCATCGTAATATCTACTATTGCTTGGGTTGAACTCGGGGTCTCCCCCAGCAAAGTTCCAGTGTAATGACATTTACACACAGTAAGCCCTGGCCTCGACACTCAGCTTCTGGAAGAGGTCTGTTCCGTGGTGTAGCCACTGGCATTCTACGACTAAGCTTTCCGTAACGACGGGCGCAGCCTGAGGATTTTGATCGTAAATCCATACGCCTGTAGCCAAAAATAAAACTACAGCCATTTGTATAAACTGAAGTATAATACTGGAAGACTAAAAAGTCAGTTTGCTTATATATAATGCTGATCTTGGGTGTTTACAAACTCAACTATCCGTAAATCTATCCAACCTCAACTTACCGACCACGAACTCAAATAAATTCATTCTCATTCAAAGCTGGGTACGTGTCTATGGGTACGCTCGATGTGTTACAGCTATTTATAAAGTACATTTAGAATTGATCATTGTTAATTTTGCCAGTGACGTTATCATTTAACATCTTATCCAAGTAGAAACCGTAGTATTTAATGTTATTTTGTATCGAAATCGGCAAGAGTGCCGATGAAGCTGGGTAGACACTTTTACGAGATGTGTTACCACTCGATAGCTTCAATGTCGTTTAGAATGTCAAACCACAAGAGGATCCACTTTATGGGATCAAACTCTAAGCTTAGTTAGGATCAAAGGACCAAACAGTAGACCGTAAGGCCATAGACTGTGTCTTTTTTCAGCCGGCGATGTTAATCACTGCATCGAGATATTTTCATATGAGGCGAGTACAACATTAGGGCCATTCAAAAGCTGCGCAATGAAATTAGAGGCAAAGGATAGGCACCGGGGCCACGGATTAATGTAAAAAGCGATAATCCCGTATGTAAAATTTGGATCAACTATCACGACGGTGCACAACTTAAGTCTATTTCGGGCTAGGTACGTACTTAGATATTTATCATTCACCGATTATGTCTATTTCAAAATTCTCAAACGTAGTAAACACTGCAAGCCTTAAGCCTGAAAAAGCTCAGTGACATCGTGTATTATATTGAATAAATCTGAAATAGAAAAAAACGTAAAAGTTTGACGTTTGAATAGCAGTATAGATGCTGAGAAATTTTAATACGTACACAGCCGTACACAAATGGTGAAAGAGAAGATTTAAATCCTTAATCTAGTTCCAATAGTTTGAATTGCAACACACCTTCCACTGAACTAAGTGAGCATCGCTGATCTAGCCATAATCCTGAACTCAGTTTTTCCATGGCAAAGATTTATATACATATATATATATCGCTTGAAACGTGATTGAAGCATCAGGTTGCCGTAGGCTTCACTGTACTCTTCTCCGTAATCTCTCTTTCTAACGTAGCTTTCTCTCCCTTCTTGCTTCCAAATCCGCACTAGGTTAGCCTTTCCTATCGGCAGGCGTTACTCCGTTTCGAAGCAATCCATTAGCCGTGTTAATGTATCAAGCAAAGTTGTCGATGATTGGCCCCACTACCAAAACTGAGAAACCGTAGTAAGTGACCAACTCCAATTCGGATTCAGCGTACTTGAGCAAACCCAAAAAACGGAAACGACTTCAAGATTTTTGGTCAGCACAGGCAGTTTGATAAGCCTAGGCGGCTTTTAAGGCGGATTCTAGGACCCTGCAAAAGGCAATGGTGGCTCGAGTATTGTATAACCTAGTATCTAAATGTGCAGCACACAAATGTTCGATCAATATTGAACAGTGGATCACGCTTTTAGTCTAGGATAAGGTCAAATTTAGGATCAATTGTTATAAAAATGAATAAGAAGAAACATATAGTGCATCTACTTCGGTACGATGCCCAGACATGAAGCTTGCGCTTCGAGAGCTATATTAAAATATACGGAGCAAGCAAACTTCTATTTCTACGCATAGATTATGCTTTATTTTATTATGATGTTGTAATAACAGTGTAATTACAGTAAGAACCAAATTTGAATACACTAAAGATAAGCGTTTATAAACTTTAATTAAAAATATATTAGATATAGAAAACAAAATACTTTTAAAAGTATATATATATATACTTTTAATAATATATACATATACATATACATGTATATAATATATAATAAAAAAAAGAAAACAATAGATTCTTAAAATGCAACTAAAGCACCAAACGTGAGCTCGGCGCCAGTCAATCTTGTACTCGTCACTTGCTATCACCAAAGTCACCAAAAGTTCTACTCGATTGAATAGGACCGTACGACTGTAACCATTTTTAGCAGAAAGTATTTTTAGCAGAATATTTTGCTTTATTACCTTGTAGTTTTCCAATTCAGAGTAGAGTTGTATCGTACTTGGTCGGGTTGGCCATTGGCCAAATAACACGACGCAAACAGAGAGCGAATAAACGCTTAACGGCTAAAAGGCGAGCAGGCGTCCAGTAAGGTCGAGCAATTTGTCGGGTACTCCTAATTTTTGTAAATTCCAACTCTTTCGCCAGGGTTTATATTGAGAAAAGGTATACGCTGCTCTATCTTCTCCCAACGGCTCCATCATTCGGAAATGTTGTTTGAGGGTTAACTACGTCAGGCCAATCTGAGAGCAGACTTCTTCCCGTAATGTTCGACGTCCCCTACAAAGCACCGGTCTAACTTCGCCCGGTACGACCAGACCTAAGAATGGCCTGAGCGTTGGAAGATAGGAGGAACATCTTGAGCCGTGCACAGATAAGCGACAATTTTACAACAGCGATTAGTAGTAACATTGTCTAGGGGTAATAATCCATTCACCGAATAGACTTTCAACTGCAACATTATTTTTGTTGATAAGCCTTTTTATTAATGTGCAAAACAGGTCTGTAGCACATCTCAAAAAGGAATCACTACGGTTCCCGCAATACCGCGCGCGGGATCATCAACAGGTCATATAGTCCGTTTCAAACACCGAATGCTCTCATTGTTGCCGCTAGCGCATCCGTATACGCAGTACTTCTGATATGCTAAAGCCATATCAAGTGGCTTTTCAACGTGTACTGGAGTACGCTACAGACTACCAAAATCGACTGGCTGACCCTCTGGTGCCAGATCAGTCGTACGGCGAGCGGTCAGCCTGTCTCAATGTTTGAGGAACGCTGGGAACACTCAATATTACTCAGGGGAGCAATTCTTCGAGTAGATTGGCTAGGTAGTCTCACCAAGCCAAGTTTATTGAACGAAACTCCTCCATTCGTCTCTGACTAGCCCCAGCCACTGCTTCCTCTAGTGAACGATCTATCTCCTAAAATCCAGGAGGTTCGCGGATCGTCGTCGTCAAAAGAGCGCAGACAGAAAACCAAATGAAAAGGGTGGAGTGCCGACGAGATGGAGCAGGACAGCTAGCCTGGTTCAGTTTAGTCCGAGTCGATGTCAGTGGAACAAGGAGACTCCAATGTCTAATGCCTCCAGCAATACCATTGCTACAGCTGGCCGGGTGGCATATCGAGGGATAGACGAAGAAACGGTTTGCAAATCTTGCCCTTCTACAGCGAATACTGCCCCCTCGACCGTTTTGTTTAGCAGAAACAGCAACAAACTGCCAGTGGGCCTTTTATTCTGGCATGTCCCAAGTGAGGTCCAGAAAGGCCATATCTAATATATCGTCTGTACTCCTTGCCTTTTTTCCCTTTGACAAGGATTTGCTACCACGTTGGTCTATTATGTCAGAGGGTGCCGGTGGAAGCATACACGCAAACTCACATAAACGCCGACCTTCAAGGTCAAAAGCTGGCTTCTACAAGCCTTTATAGTCGGCATATATAAGACGATGATAAAATAGAAGAACGGTTTTACCATTGAAGTGAGATTTTACTCGAACAACACTTCCACAGAACCCTTACGTAAGCAGTGTTTTTTATTAATTTCGCTGATAAAGATGGTAAACGATGCTGTACAGTATTACGATCGTTAGTTTTTTTTTACTAAGACAAAAATAGTCATTGTTATATATTACGATCATGTAATCCATTGATTAACCAATGCCGTGTCAAACAATAGACAAGTTAAAATACAAATTTGAGCCTAAAAGCTACTTTCGGACTATTGGTATGCCCTCATACAGAAAACTAGCACGAAAGCAAAGGCGATCTGAATATAATCGTTATGGAGATAATCATCTCCTTATCACACCCTTCGTATCATTCATTGTAGTAGCCTACAAGCCTGATAAGTGAAGCATGTCTGCAGTCGTCGTAGTACTGGTGAGATGAATACTTAGAGGTAGCCAGCGACTAATTACGCATATGACCCAGCGTGTTTTTGTTTTTTCTCCCTCGATTTATTTCACTTACCATTGTTTGTCAATTTTTTTAGGGTCACCAAGGTATTCTCTGTTGTTCGACATAGCTAAAAGTGTACAAAATTCAGTCAACATATCTGGTGAAGGAGTTTCATTCAAATGTTTGTTGCGCGGTAATTTAATGTGTGAAGAATACAGTTGTTGTACGTTGTAAATTAAAAGTATACGCCGTCAAGCAAGTAATCGCGGTTTTAGCGACGATGTGATGGCCAAAACTCTGCGGGACGTATTTTGACCTTTAAAGGGGCTAAGCTCACGCTACTTCAAAACTGTAAAAAGAAAGCTGGTTTGTCTGATACGAATTTTCAGCTAAGCTGGTGTCTTATTGGATAATCAGACGGATCAGTCAGTTTGCTGGCGTTTTGGACTTCTTTAATAGCTTCGAAACAAAGGGAGAGAGTCGTAGGGCGACTACCAGAACAATGTCTGTGGAGCTGAAAAGTAAAGCTGGTGTAGCTTTAGTTCGAAATTTTGTCGTTCGTGACTGTGAAAACGACTGGCCTTTTGCATGAAAGCCGATAAGGTTCCTTGGAAAATGGCCTTATCTCGTAACGTGTGTCTCTTACATGCAGATTTGCTATTGTTCATGACCCCTTTGGCAAGCAAACGCCGATTTCTTGAACGGCAACAGAACTTCCTGTGTGCGCCAGTCCTGTTGACTATTGATCATAGTCGGTTAATTATAGGTTCTATATTTTCAGTCACCTTGGAAGACGCTGTTTCCTCAGAAGGAAGTTCCCCGGGCTGGTTCCTCTAGACAAATTCAATGGGCAATAGAAGCTGTTTCTCAGTTCGTAGGGTTCCTTATCGAGTTAAGGTAGTAAGTACGTTAATGTTGATATTGCCATCGCTGAGGTGTAGGCTGCTCCGTAGGTTTCTGTAATCGATGTGTGGAGACTGTTGCAGAAATCACCTGCGTTGCAATAATATCTATTTTTGCCTTTTGCTTGTGGTATCTGGATATATTTATAATTTAGCTTATCCCTGGTTGTTTGATAAAGCGTTTATGCTCAAATCATAATGACTTCCTTATGTTATAGCTTTTATATCTTCCTTTCTATTCCTTATCTCAGTACAATATCCTTATACTGGTCTCTAATGTTATTATTCGAG